TCGAAAACATTAATCCTTTTTTCCGAAAGCCGACTAACGCTTTGGTAGTCGAGATGTATATTTCGCGTTGTTCAAATTGCGCGCAGAGAGATGATACGAAAAATTCATCAGATTTATGCAAACGAGCTTGTTAAGAGAATAAAAAATTATATTAGCTAATGTTCTCGTCGCGGATAATAAGAGCTTTTGGAAATGTGGCAAATGAATAAGATAATTACATATGAGAATAGACGATTTTGAGGCGATAAGATTATTTATAGATTTTGATTCCTTGTAAAATGAAATGATTTTTCATGAAAAATTTATATACTATATAACTCTTCAACGCGATTTAGATTACGTTTAATCTAGTTCGATTATTCGATATTTCAAATTTATCCTTTGTACAAATTTATCGTGCGTCCCTCATAATCTTCGAATACATGGATTTAACATCAATATCAATTTAAAATTTTATCATGTCAAAGCAGAAATAATGCATAATTTATTCTCGTTGTCTACGCGCAGATAAATGAATTTCTCACACGACCACACGCGCGATCGATGTAAAGTGGACCTGTAAAACGTGCCGAAAACTGCGGTTATGGTTCGTTATCCAATAACTGTGTAGTCATATAACTTGTTTTCGTTGCCGCACCATAGGACAGATTTTAATTGAATTATATGGTCGTTTATTGATTAATAAACCAAAACCGGAGTAGACGGCAAATGCTACAAGTTCGCTTTATCAATCGCGACCGTTGTCATATGCGCGGAAACTCATTTATTTTCATGTATAGAGCGGCGACACGTAAATAAATTGCATATTATATCCGCTTTTGACATTACACCGGCAACCTTAAAATTAAATGTAACATAATTTACTTTTATCTTTTCCAATATAATGATGAAAAATGATTTATATTTTTATACTCGTAATTGTTTAAGTAACTTTATATATATTTTTCCCTTAACCTAAGGCTATATTTTTTTCCCCTAGTTTCATTGAAAATGCAACTCCAGGTTTCTTGAGAGACGATAACTATCGGAAATGTCTGATTACGTCTTCATGCGGGGTACGTTATGTGTTCGCATCGCATCGTTTAACCTTTATACGATCGAAGGGCAAGGTAGAGTAACACATTCAGTTCGCGTCGGCGGTCTAACCTATCGGCTTGCTATTTTTTTTTTTTTTTTTTTACGAACAAACGAGATGCCTATCAACATCATGTACACGATGTGTATATCGAGAAATGTTTTTCTCAAGCGCGTATTTCTAATAAAACTCATTTTTTTTCATAAAAAAAAGTTTAACGCTGGTAACTCAAAAGCAAAATATAATTGAATTAAACTTTGATTTCTTTATGGTACGTGATGCGTAGATTTTACACTAATTGAATTTATGATCTAGAAAAACTTTTACTTTCTACACAAATAAAAACTGTAATATATATCCTTTCCACGTGGTGTGTACATACTGTAAATAATATCATTAATACGTGCTTACGTTTCGAAATTATGCAATGTTTATTGAGTAGCTTTTATTTTCCCTGTAAAAATTATTATTATACAATTTGTATTATAAATATCGAAAGTCTTCTCGCTTTTTTATTTTCTTCTTTCAATTTGCGATTTGTCGGAAAAGAAATCTGACACCTATTTTTCTTCGATATCAGATATTCGCAAATTACAGTTACTTCTGATTTCACGTATTTGTTCGATTACAGTCAATTTACCTCCACGTATACACTAGTGGCGAACTTTGCGCTAAATTACGTGCTCCGCTGTTTGCGTCCCCGAAGGAGATGAACGAATGCGGTTGGTGCAACCGGCTGCATTTGAGAAGTTTCGCTCGATTTGCAGTGATTACTGTGTGAGGGAACGGGGGAGGATGAGAGGCGATTATTTAATTCACATTTGCGCAACGATATTCACGGTTTTGTGCCTCGTCAAGCGTTCAGAAAATTTACCCTGCACCAGGGGAGAGAAGGAGAAAGAGCAGGCACATTCATGGCAGCTGACGTCATGTTCAACGAACTGTTAGTTAGCTAGTGAACTATACTAATATTGGAATGTGCTTCGAGCCTTGTCAAGTCACTGGGGGGAGGGGGGGGGCACGTACGTGTGTGGATGTATCCAACAGCTGCTGGCGGATTTCTTTCGCGTCTTTCTTGGTTACATCGCTATCCACGACGTTACAGCGGAGCGATAAACTTACCTGTGTGTTTTCCCGATAACTTTTAACTCTATCCCCTTTCGAGAGATATATCCTCGGGGAAGTTAAAGATGTTCACACAGATTTATTTCGCGAGACTTAATAGACGGCGAATGACATCGAAGAAAAATCAAAGCGAATAAATGATAGTGTAAGTTATCCGCGGAATTCTATAGCTAGATCAAAGTTAGCGTTAACAGCACGTGACGGAAATAACTTTACGCGTGTTCACTTTCTGCTAATTATGGAATATCTTACGTAATGATTATAGACATATTAATCATACTTGCCGGCCGCTGATGTCTTTGACAAATATTTATCGAACCCCATGAAAGTCATTTATCATACCTTATGCTCACATTAAAATGTCTTTAGCGTTGATAATAATTAATCAGAGATTTTAATATTAAAGTGCGTTCTATTATTCTCGGTGTTGCTGAGGAAAATTTGGGGGTGAAGCCGTGATGGCAGGAAAGGGTTGTACTTGAGTAAATACAAGTCGCAAAACAGTGTTAGCTCGCTTGCCTCGCGGAAAACCCCATTCACGCAAAGCATGCGACTGGATATTGTGATTACCGTCAACGCTTGATGATATATTATATGCCTTGGAGAACTAATACGTTTTCCAAGCGATCTTTGCTATTGTTCTCACTAACATATTACCATCGGGTGGTCGTCTCCGCGAAACCGTTGATGATACTGACGATGATCGGAAGGGGTGAAGTTATTTGGGGCTTGATCGCATATAATTACGGCAAGAAGAACGATTAATCGAGGTGAGATCAATTGCCTCGTAGACACTATTGGATCGGAAGTTTGGCATGCAAAAGAAAATGACTTGCCAAAATTGGGTCGGTAATTTTCAGTAATTATCGTTGGAAGCATTCGAATAAAAACGAGAGATAAATTGGTCGAATCGACTTCGAATTAAGGAAACGAACTTTTCCTTTTTTTTTTTTAGATTTCAGCTCGAATGAGTCGATTCATTATATATATATTTAGCGGCGCCAACAAAATTATCTATTCATCAAAATGTCTTTGACTAAGACATTCTTTCTGCTCATTGATAATTAATTAAAAAGTGTCTTAACTTTTAACGTTAACTTTATAATTAAGTAACTTACTTTAAAATAATAATAATGACAATGACTAGCTCATTTAATACAAAATTAATTAGAAGAGATTAACAGCTAGAAACGAACAGTATGTTGTTATAAGTTATTTAAAATAAAATAATTTTTATATGAAAACACAGCGTTTATAAAATTTTTTAAATACACAAAGATTATTTTATTGTAAATAACTTATATTAACATTGCTCACCAACAATCTTTACAATATAAAAATTAAGAAGATAAAAATTAACGAGATAAAATTTAGATTTTTATTATAATACGATTTGATTACATCAACATAAATGGTTTTGCATTAAAGATGACTTCTGAAATTGCTCAACAAATTAAATTTTTAAATAATTTAAATGATATTACAATCTTTATTCAATGTTGCAAACTTACGATATTTATAAGCAAAAATGTTTGAAAAATACATTAATTCAGACCAGCAATTTAAATCATTGAATGCATCAGTGTTGTTACTCTCAAACTTTCACATCGAATAACTCGTATATTATCTTAAAATTTAGACCGAAGATATTTCATAGTCGATGTTAAGAGGCTCACTGACATTTTGATCGGCTTAAACGACTAGTATATAAAATAAATTATAAAACATAAAAAAGAGAATGTGTAGAAAGAAGTGCATTTTATATACCTTATTTTCTCTTTCTCCCTATTCGTTGTTACATAATTTTAACATAATATTTTAGTATAACAACATTCTCAATCTCTCATATTATCGGGAAATAAATAACGTGTATTACAGTGAGAAATTGCGTGGTTTATAATACAATCCAGTGGCCAGTCGAAAATATTGTTCTCGTATTACGCGAGTGTTTTATCCAGAAGAGTGAGTCGGCATATTCATTGAATTAAAAAAGCAAAGTTAAAATATCGCGTAACGTAATGTATATTCCGTGATACGGTAAAACAAGAAAACCTATAACGTATTATTTATTCAATTACGGTTTTATTATCATTTTTTTATCGATTTACGAACATGTACAGTGATAATCAGTTGCGAATACCGCGCGCAAGAAACCGCGTCCATAAAAATTGTTTAAGGACTTGTTTCCGAGTTGTGAAAAGCAAGTCTTGAAGGGTGCCGCCTTCATATTGACATGTGTCATAAACTTTTTCTAAAGGTATGAATAACGCGGGACTATATATTACTCTTGAAATATCGTCCTTCTCAATTTTAACTTATCGGCTCGTATTTCAATATTCAATACAGAAGCAAATGAATGGATATGAATACATTTGTATACGCTCAATGTAGATATTTTATTTAGATCGTTTTTAAATAATAATGTATTAAAATACTATTATAATAGATATTAAATTAATTATAAAAAATATTTTAATTTCTTTCAAAAATATATAAAAATATATTGGTTTTTTAGCAATAATATAATATCTAATCGAGAGAATTTATAATATTAAAAATTAAGACAAATTAAATTAATACGGATTTAAATAAATAAGCAGATAAATAAAGTTCCTTTTCGTTAATATTAATTTTTTAATTGTTAAATTTAATTTGAACAAATTTTTTAAATAAAATATTTATTCCTAAAAATGACAATTTTCTTTTCGCAAAGTAAATGTCGTGCGAGCAGGAGAGAGAGAGAGAGAGAGAGAGAGAGAGAGAGAGAGAGAGAGTGTGTGTGTGTGTATAGTAGACTCACCTACAATAGTGATGAGTATGAGAAGACAGAGCACGATAGCTCTCAATATGATTGGTACATCGAAGAAGACTGGATTTTCCACAGTTGCGTTTGCGGCTTGATCGACGTGAGCCTCCATCGCGGTAAAGTGTATTTTCCGTCTTCAGTGTTCGCTATTTATCATCTGATTAAATAATGTATCATAGTCTGTCTTCGTTAGAGCGGATCCGAAGCTTTTTTCATCGTTTTTGATAGACGCAGGGTCAATACCTGGCCGATAAACGCCGGTTGCTCCCCTTATACACTTCCATCTCTATTTCAGAATTTCTCACAGTCCCCATTTTGCGCAATTTTCTGCTCCAAGACTCCATGGACTTCGAGGTGCAGGTTTTTTTTTGTGGGATGTCAGAGAGAGAGAGAGAGAGAGTCCTTTCGTACGTACGTCTGAAACGGTAACGTGGAAAAAGATTTTGTTAAAACGTTGCTTTCATAGATGATTTTATATTGAAGAAAAATATTTACTTTTATTATTGACAAATGTAATCGTAAATACAAAAATCCTTATTGTTATGAAATTTTATTAACATTCTGATTTAATCTCTCTTATAAATATTACAATTTTTTCTTAAATTCTTTTTATGAATTTTTTAATTTTTAAGAAATTATTAGTAATACAAAAAAAATTCAATAGTCTACGATTACAGTATAATTGTAATATTGAGTTTTGTGTTAAATATAAATTTCAAGAAAATTATACACGCACGAAGAGAATATGCGAGGTGTCACGTTTATGGTAGCCCACGAAACCAATGAAATTGGAACAATCGATCGGCAATTATCAGGATTGTAACGAGCAACCACAATCGACTTTGATAATGAATCCACGGGGTTGTGCGAAAAAATAGATGCGTTTACAACAAATGCCAGTGGTGAGATTGCCTTAGGAGTCGTATGCACTCTATTAAATTTTCCAATAGTGTCGGAACGTTTCATTAACTTGAATTCACAGGAACCTACTCGCCATTTGGTTTAAACTGATCGAATTTCCAGACGAATAGCGTTCACGTTTGATAGCAACGCCAATACACCGTAACGAGCCACTGTTTTTCCGTGGTTCGTTGCGCGATTTTATTATTTCGATGAATTACAAATGATTTAATGGAATGTGAATTTTCGATGAAATTAGACTGAGTTTATCTTATTTCTCTATTGAAAATTTTGCTTTTAAGTTTCACGATTTATGTCATAAAAATTTTGATTGTAATTGAAGACTTGTATCGAATTTATAATAACTTTAATTTTAACACATGGAAAGACCGAGTTTGCTGAAGTATTTATAAATTTAATGAAAGATCTGATACAGATCTAAAAATAATTTTGTTGAACTATTAAAATAATTATATACTTGTATATAACAATAACAATTATATACTTGTTATATATAACAATAATAATTATATACTCGTTGCTCAACATTTTTTGTAGCTCATTATGTTTGAATTTCCTACATAGTTATTTTTATGGTGCAATAAAATCGTTTTCAGATATAACTAAATCTTTAGATATTTCAGCGAAATCGTTCTCTCCGAAATTATTAGAAGAGAGATATATCACATATTTCTCTGATTTATATCTTATTTTTTAGTTTCCTTTTTTGTAAAAATTTATCAAGGCACTTTTTAAAATGTAAAACTTTTCATATACGTGAATGTTTCTTGTTGCTACCCTGCAACATTAATCATATATACGGAAATATGTAAGGGGCTAAATATATTTTCACGAGGGAAGTCAACATTTTTCTTGTGGTAATACGAAAAATTTGTCTTATATATAGTGATTGTTGTCACAATGGCTTTTTGCGCGCGCGGCCGACTGCCAAGAACTAAAAGTTTTATTCCCACCACATGACGCAAATCCCACGTATTCCCTGCCAGCAACGAAAAAGTGTCCCGCCCCACGGCTCTCTTCCTCATCACCATTTTTCGATGTCCGTCCGGTAGGGAGTCGAAAAACAATCATTCTTCCACGATAGAGAAGTATCTCCCAACTTTCTAACAGTCAGCGTCGTTTGAAGAAAAAGTCCCGGAGGGCGCAAAAGCGTGATGTCTGTTCATGAAAACTTCAAAGGCGGGCAGGAAAAACGAGCGCTTCTGTACGACTGAAGAATAAAAGCCAATCAAACGGACTTTCGTAGACGCCATGTTGCGTTTTTAACTTAAATCAACGGAACCGAATATCGATTGCGCGAATATCGATTTGTTGGCACGTAACGAGAGCTTTATAAATCGTATTTTATATAGATCACTGGTTACTCCCAGCTTAAAGGACAGCGTTTATTTTCTTTTATAGTATGTCATTCATCTCCGTAACAAACAATGAGTATTCTAGTCTTCTATCGTTAAAGTCAGAATTTTATTGGCAATTTTTTTTTATAAACAAATAGAAATAATAAAAAAATAAAAATATTCTATTCAAAATAGAGTACTAAATGCATGAATATATTATATGTATTAACCTTTAATATGATGATTTTTCGATGATTCTTTATCCCACATAATGTTGTCCGAGTTGTGTGGGTTTCATCACTTTACAAGCATACAAAAATTATAAGTGTTTCTTAATAATAAATTAATAAAAATACATACTTTAGCGTTTTTAGAAAATATTTGAAAAGTAATCTATTTGTAAAGTATATCTATTTAAGGAAAGGAAACGATAGAAACTTTATTTAATCAGGTTAAATAAAAGTATCCTAGTATTTCAAAGGAGAGAAATGCGTAGGATGTGAATGATCTATCGTGTGTACTAAGAGCTAATCCTTTATACTGTTACAAAATTTGATAAATTTTGTATACAATAATAATGGATACAGTCACAATTTATCGGTAGAACGTGATAAGCGCGTCAGTAAAGTAACTCTTGAAATTTCGTTTACTTGGCGATTCACATCTCAGCAGGATATAAAAATTGTATTTTACAGCCTCTGTAAAATCGTCTTCTCTCACAATGATGCAATCACAATGATGTGAAAATGTCTCTGTAATAGCCGATCGGAGAAAAAACGATTTTAAGTATTACGGGAAATTCGCGCGTCTCGTAGAAACATTGTTTCGCAATCAAGTATTTTATTCATTCAAAGAGAGAGAAAGGAAAATTAATTCGAACTTCAATAATGGAAAATAGACTTTTGTCCTGTTGTATGAAGTAATTTTTATATTTTAATAAAAAAACCATTGAAATGTGCGAATGGATTTAGAAAATGTGAAAGAAAATGAAAAATAAATTCTTATTTTCTAAAAAAAGTGTAAACGTAAACTATTTTAAAATGTTATTAATATAAAAATATTTATCACACTTAAAAGGAAAACTTAATAGAAGAAAGAACATTTGTCGAGTTTCTGAGAAGTGATTTTTTAAATTGTTAATAAAACTTATCGAAATATAACCTATTGAATTTGTTTTGACGTGATCAATTCACTTAATTTACAATTAATAATAAAAAAATGTAAAATAATCTTTATATAATAATTATAAAGACAGCAATAAATAAAATTCTTTCTAATAAATTGATATAAAATTTTATATAAAACGTTTTATGTTAAGAAGAAGTCACATATGTAATTAAAAAATTTTTTGAAATTTTTGAAGATGGCTCAAGCAGCCGAAACATGTCAAAATTTCGATTTTAAAAGAATAGGTTTGAATATCAAGCTCATGTAATTATTATTTAGGTACATAAAATAATTTTACGCACAATTTTCTGCAGTTAACTCTTTAAACTCTGTAAACTTATTTTATTGCATTTATTATTATTTAGAGCCCTTTATTATTGTACTATATAAAATTTTATTTTTGATAGTTTTATGAGGCAGTTTTTTTTCATATCACTCTATTAATTAGTCGTACGTTTTAAAAACTATAAATCGTGCAAGGAAAATTTGCTCGATGAATTACGATCAGTTGCGTATTATAATAGACGTTGCTTAATAGGTTGAAATTGTGCGAATATTTGCGCCGATCGTTTGTACTTTGGGACCAAAAGCGGTCGACTAAATCTCGCCGTATTTGAGCCAATTCAAAATTGAAAGTGCAGGCGCACGTAGCAGCCTCTGCGAGAGGCGCGTGTATATACATTTCACAATAGCGGATGCATTTATCACGAGCAGAAAACTGCGCTCTTGGTCGTGCTCGAAACTCCATAAATTCCCCGCCGTTAGTGGAAAATGGAGGAGGGGAAGCATCCAAAGTAGAGGAGAAGGACGAGGAGGAACGAGGGAGAATCGACACGTCGGAAATCTATTTCTGGGAAAAGAAAAGCCGAGCAAACTGTTACGCGATTAAATCGCGAGCTGCCAGTAGTAGAGATCCTCGAAATTCACGATCGTTTGCTTTCGATTTAAAACGGCCGAATCTCGTCGACAAAGATGTCTCCGTCATGGTTCTTCTTCTCCCGGCTTTCCCTAGGCCAGGAAAAAAGCGCGTTAACGAGGGACTGATCTCTTCTCGAGGAAGTAAAAAGGTTACGTGGTTTTAAAGTTTATGACCAGTCACATAGACAAAAAGTGAGCGATGAGTTTTTTCTGAAACAGTGTTTGTGACAGTTCAAAGGGGAAGTCTTAATATTCAGGATCTATATGTCATTTTTTAATAAAATAAAATATGCACAAAGCGAAATAAAATATACCTTTAGGTGCTTGAATTAAAATGAAATTTTTCGTAACAATTAAGGAAAATATATACATTGAAACAAATATTCTAATACTTTAATGAATATTCTATTGCTCTAAAAATAAACGATAGATATTATTTCTTTTTGATTATGCTAATATAATTATTTGCATTATTTGCATTTGTAATAATTTTATGATTTATTCTTCAGATATGCACATATAATATATACAATAACCGCGGGATATGCATACAATATTTGGCAGGGAATCAAGTTTCGAATAAGTCATAAATTTCTGAATATTACACGAAAATTTCCGTTGTTCTGTATATACTTTTTTTTGTTTTCTATCAGAAGGTCTGGCGCGAAATTCAAAAATAAAACTAGATTTCCTTGTAAAGTGAAGTGCACCTACTATTTACGATGCCATACCGTCGTCCATTATCCAGAGCTCCTACTGCGTTCCATTAGTCCCATGTAACTAACTTCTTCAGCTTCCAAGGATTTCACGCTGAACCGTGCTTATAGGATCAAAAGATTAGGTCCACGCGTTACGCCCGATATATATGAAGTGCGCGACGGGGGCAACTTTAAACTTATCCGCAAATCCGGGAGAAATTTCGTTGTAGCGTCATCGATTTTCGAGTGCTAAAACGGTATAGTTGTTTGACCGATAAAAATAGGCGAGAAAAAACGGAATAATGGAAAAAAAATTGGAAAAACAAATCGATGAGAAAAAAAGGAAAATAGAATTTACATAGTCAGGATGACCGGA